GGGGGCCTCCCAAACTGGTTCGAGTCTGATGTACCAACAGTAGAAAGCATTCAGCTCTTACAAAATGAAGGGCGCAGCAATCTCAGTGCTTGACCCCACATTTTCTATAGATTGATGGGGGGCAATGGCAAAAAATAATGCTTGTTGGCCCTTTCATTTTGTATGCCTGACAGTTGGACGCACCTCTGTTTTTTGTAAGAAGTCTTGCTGCGCCCCACAGGTTTATACTACAGAAAGTGGGGTCTGACCCCTCCCCCCCTAATTTTGACGGGGATCGGTAAGCAGTATTAAACAAAATATATGTTTTCCAACGGAATATAAGATTTTGAGAAAGCACGTGCTAAGATGGCTTTGTTGAAGGTTGTCTAACCACTTGTTCTCAATGGACATCCACGATACGTAAATGGCACTTATACCCCCATCTCTTTATTTAGCAATGGTGGGTTTCAGGCGATATGCAATCTTTGGCCTCGGAGGGTTTGTGCCATCTATTCGGGGCCTGCCCGAACCCACCATGCTTCCAGTAAGGGGTTGCTGAAGCAAAGTAAAATCTGGCGCGACTAATTTTTGGGACAAAACCACAGCATATTTTCTTGATTTTACTTCGCAGCTCTGGCGGCCCAAAGAACCCTTCACCAATCCCAGCTACGAGCTGTCCGCCTAGGTGGTGTGTTGGCACCCAGCTGGGGGCGTGCATCAAAGAGATGACTCCAAACCAGCGACTGCCATTGGTGTTGATGTACCAGGCCACGTGGAGCATGCTTGAGAGGGATGCAAAACCCATTTAGAGCCTTTCAAGGTGTCATGCTAACTTTGGGGAGACTGGTGAAGACAGATACCTATATAGACTTTCTCTGTATATTATGCATAGCACACACTACACCCACAAGACACCACAGTTGTTTCATTGCGATGTAAATTGATAACTCTCATCTATTTACAGTGATGAAGTAGCTCATCTATTTATTATGCAGAGGGCTCCGACTTGAGATGTTGGGACTTGCCCATCTCTCGGAGCCGCGTGGCCGGGCGTGGCCCTGCACCGCGTGGGAGGCCGCGGGCACGGAGCCGGACCAAAGCTTTCCCAACCTTCGTGGCTACGTCTCATGGGCGGCCAATGTGACGGACAAAGGCTCAAGTGACCGATGGGGCGGTGGGTCAATGGTAGGGGAGGTTTGATGCGATGTTTGAGGCATGGAGCCCCAAAAACATCGGTCCAGACTTCGTAAGATCCGCAGGGTGAGGCAAGGCTCGTAGATGGCTCGTAGATTGTAGAGGAGCCAGTCATGTGGGCAAAACATCATAGGAGCCCCAGCAATTTGTCTCAAAGGTCATCCATCCTCCATCCATCCTTGCACCCAACATCAACCAAAGGCGGTTGATCAGATTTTACATCCCAATGCAGTCGGGGCCAACACCAGTCTCCATCCAGGCCCCTAGGCCTGAGACGCGAGGCCTCGACACTGCAGGACCCAACTACCAATTTGACCACCTGCTGAACTTGGAACCTTTGGAACTCCCAGCCGAAGCTGCAGATCCCAAGCGTGCCTATGGTGGCCACATGCATATACTGGCGCCTTGACCCGGACCTAGTATAGCCTAGCAGCGCTCCGCAGGTTGGTGCCGGATGAAGAATGAAACCAACCAACCAAACACGGCGCCAGCTATTAAGAAACCAACCAAACCTAGGGCAGCACCAAGGACAAAACTTTCCAAACACCAAGCAGACCTTCGTCCTTGGTGCCCAAGGCTATGGTTGACTTCTAGGCCGAATCACGGAATCGTTAATTACATGCAATACTATATCAGATTATCGGGGGTTATTGTGATGGATTCCAGATTGGCACTAGGCTCGAGCCATCGGTGATGCCTCTTATATACATGTTGTTTATCAATTTTATACAAACCATTTCATCGAGCTGTGCCATTTTGATCCACTTTCGCGCTCATGCCGGCATACGAAGGTCATGGAAACGAAGCATTCGGGAAGTTAGTGGAACCGACCACTATGCACAGGTTGTTGGGAGATCAAACGACTGCGTTGAGGTTCCCCGCTCCGTGGACTATGAGTTCCCACCTGCTTCCTCCTCGCTCATGGGAGATTCTCCACACAAATCGGCTGAGAGGCCGAACGCGTGCTGCGATATTTGGGCCACCGGACCGGGGCCAGGGCATACCTGGGCCCTTGAGCTTGCTCTGAATTATCAGGTCGTCCAACAAGACCCAATCGGTTTGCATGTGTAAGACGTGTAGGCACAACTCGTGAACTGACACCGGCCACAGCTTTTTGGGAAAAACATGCTGATGAAGGTGAAGGCCTCCACCTACGGCTACGCTGAGATGTGCCACCCATGTGCTACCCCACCTCTTTGCTGTTCGCAGGCTGGCCGAGATCACCTGGCGTGCGGTGTCCACCTCAGTAGGCGCTCCCCTGCTGGAGGCCAACACCGAGCCCAATGTGAGCCACTTTGTGTCTCGGAGAGGGAGTTAAAGCGTGGTACTCCTGTTGGAACTGGTGGGAACATTGAAGGATCTGGAGGGAAAACAGCTGCACAAAGAAGATCCAATGGACATCTCATGAAACCTCATGGTGTGATATGAATTATTTTCACATTGGTAGATATTGGTAGAACTATGTAGAATTTGGGACATGACATTTTTGAACCCCATCTAACCCAGCAGAAAGTAGTCCCTTGGAGATCATTTTAGGCATTTGATTGATTTGATTTTGTTTCTGGGTGTTCTATGCATGCACTTGCTGGCCGTTTGATGTCTACCGTGCAACCCGATAATCCAGTGGCAGGTGGGGTTGAAGGGCATCAGCCCTGGGGATGTCACGATCACGCGATCTGTCTTGGCTGCACTTCGAGAATACCCCGGATATTTGGATGCTCTTCTGGTTCGCAGCCCCTCGGTGAGGGAGGATGGGAAGTATACCCTGCAGCTCTTCGACATGTGGCAACGAAGATGGCGGTACTTGGTGGTTTCTTGGCAGTTTGTTGGACTTGGTGAGTGTTAATGGTGTGAGCTCTAAAGGTAGCGCGTAAGAACGAATACATGTTTCCATAAGTCTCATATCCAACACTTTTGCATACTTTTTGCTAAGACATGCCAAGATCAACAGAAAAAAATCCGCGGGCCTGAAAGGCTTGAAAGATGATTTTTGTTGGGCCTGCAAAAGGGAGTTTGCAATTGGACTGTGTGTCACTTCCACATTTCTTGAAGAATTGCTCCGGCTGCAGGTGGATGACTTCATGCCAGTGCGAACTTTGTCAAAGGGCACTGAACGCCACTGGACTGGAGGTTCTCTCCATCCACTTTGGGCGTCTTGACGGTCAATTCCTTACCGGCTCAGGAATTTGGTAGTGAAATGATTGCCGTGGTAATGAACGTATCAAACAGACAGAGCTTCTCACAATTGGAATCCACGGGCTACGTGTCGCAAACACCGGAAGGCACGGAAGGTTTGGTGAGGGTCCTTGGATGTCCTTGGTGTGCAGAAGGCCCTTTGCATCGTTTAATATAAACTTCGTCCTTTATACACGACATATGATGTGCCGTTTGATGGACACGTGGCCCGAACTGCGGTGCTGGCTTGGCCACCAAGGTCTTGTTGTTGGAGAAGGCGTCCCTTGGCTGGATTCATTTGGATTCCACATGGATCCGGCCCGAAATGAATGTGGGCCGTCCGCTGGAGACAACATGTGAATACATGTCACAACTTTGTGTTCTGCGGCCCAGCTGTGACTCGGCGGTTTGGGCTGAGCATAGCCATCCTGTCACCAGCGCTCCTCCCTGTGCAACACATTCTTGTGATATCTTGTGATTTCTTGTGGGATCTCGCGGTGCTCCTTGCTCCTACAGCTTTGATCCCATCATGTGTGTTTCGGCTCTTCCACTCTTCCCAGTCTGTTTATCCCCACCAGTTCCATCCTTCATGAATCCATCAAACACCCAGGTCACCGTGACCGATCCGCTCCAAGAGACCAAACACGTGCAGTGGATTATCCACTCATACTCCCTTGACTTGGCCCCCCCACCACAGTCCCCGGCTTCCTCCCCCTTGTGATTCTGCCCCCTACAAACCTCCGCTTCCGACCCATGCCCTCGCTCTCGCGAACCGGCAACCGCTCCAGGTTGGCGAAGCTGTGTGGCTCCTACGAGGCGCTGCGGCGATCGCATCCCGGAGCCCTGTTGATGGCGCTCACAGGCGTCGAAGCATCGAACGCGGTTCGATCGATGGGGGGCGGGGGGTTCGTTGAGCCGAACACCCCCAATAGACCTGTTGAAGTTCAGTGCCTTGGGTAGGCTTCGTGAACTCCTGTTCAACTTCAAGCAGGTTCTTGAAACGGAGCTCCAATAGATAAATCAAAACTGCCATGTTGTTTTCTTGACAGATCTGAAAGATGGTGTAGATGCTTGTGCACCCTTATACTGCCTTACTGTAATTCTTTTGCTTGACTGCTAGACCTTAGCCTGTTGCCACCTATTGGAAAATGAAAGGAAGATCAGGAGCGATCATGCAAAACCCTGCCTTGGACGCCAGGTCAGGGCGATAAGCTGCTCCACTGGCGGAAAGACAACGGGTGGTGGTCAGCGTGGCGATGCTCGGATGGTTTCAATTTTCAAGGGATTTCTAAGACTACTCAAGGTACTCAAGACGAAACAACGAGGGCCGAGTCCGAGGGCTTGGAATTTGCATGAAGATTCAATCAAGATCATAGGCAGTAGTAAGGCCATCCAAACTGAAACAACAAATTGCCGTTTGTTCAGAGCGGTTGCTAGCCATATAATATAGCGGCTCATTCATGGGCAACGAAGGGATGTTGGATCTGTTGTACTGCGTCGTGTCCTGGCCAAGCGTCCATGTGGTGCTTGCTTGTTGGTGTTATCCTCAGCTTTCCCGAGGGCAGGTGCTTCCGCCCGAAGATGCTGCAGCTCGCATGGGAGAAAGTCATTCACCTGGACTCCACCGACGCTTGCATCAAATATGCTGCACAATTGTAAAACATGAGTCTCATGGCATTGGAACAGGCTGGTCCAACCACAGCCCAACTTGTTGCCAGCAGTGGCAACATCGGTGCCGGATTGCGCTATACTGTAACTTCTTAGCAAGTGCTTTGTGGACTTTCCCCATAACATCCCATAACTGTTGAAACATTTACATTTATAGTTTATGTTGATTATAGTTGTGCAAGTGAGCTGAGGTGGATCGGAAGGGTTAACTTGCAGTCAAGAGAGAACTTTTCTTTTTTGCAAGAGCTTTTCACAGCCCATGGATTTTAGAGAAGAAATATGAAGAAATTGCTGTTGGCCTCTAGCATGTCCATGTGGGCGGAACATAGACCACGACATTTCGCGGCTCCAACGCGTCAGGCCGAGTGACCAAGATCCGCCCGCTCCGGTGTGTCCTACAACGCATGGGTGGCGCAGCCGCACGGGTCACCAGGCCAAGAGGTCCACCTAGTAGCGTCCTTGCTCCTAGTAGCGATGCCCTTTGCTCATAGTAGTGTCCTTGTTCCTAGTAGTATAGCCAGGAGCCCCATTCGCAGCGTCCGATCGCTCCTAGTAGCTAAAACAGTATGTGCTTAGATACCATTTACTGAACATCTAAGAGAAGGACAGAGGGTACCTGAAGAAGCTCCTTGAATTGTGGCACTTTGTTTCATGTTTTCTTCACCTTTTCAGGGTAGTAGACTATTTCACTGGGGAGTTGTTTGTTTTTGTCTTTTTTCCGGTGGGGGCTGGGGAGATGCTGGAAAGAAGATGAGGGAACTCCTTCAATGCTGCGTGGGCTCTTTGCCTGATACTGGTGGGCTGGCGTAGGCTTGCGTACGCTGCTGTAGGCGGAGGCCCTCGCAAAATAAGTTGTTTGCATGGGATTGTTTCGTCGGAGTGGAAGCAAAGATACTCATGACATATCTATAATGAAAACATGATAGATCATCTTCGCCGTTTGCCATTTGCTCGCGAAGGGCGTAGGCATCCCGTGTAGTAAGCTTCCGCATAGGCAACCTTCTCCATGGTGTAGGCTACGCGAAGGCTTGTGGATTGAAGCCTGCGTAGTATAATGTAGTGTATCAGCTCCAAGCCAAGCACCAAAAAACACCACTCATTGTTAATCTAGGATCTACAGTAAGTGCGCAAATTTGAATGGTCTTACTGGGAGTGGCAAGGTGTCATGGAGGATGCTGTGCAAAATCTCCACACTCACTCTCGTTGGACAGATTGTTGCTCAGACATTTATCATGTTTGATGTCAACGAGGATTCACTGAGCCACATATGCAGTCCAAATATGTATACACATGTCACCATGTCACACTGTCATTTTCCACAGCAGGTGGAACGTGGCACCAGCACGAGGACTTTTTGACACTGTTGCGTGACCTCCATCGACAAAACGTGCTCTTGCTGGCGTGGCAGTTTCCAGGCCACAGATCTCAGGAAGAGGAGCCTGTGGGTGACCGTATGACGATCCAAGAGAATAGGGCAGTGTTTGCAGTTGATTGAATGTTCAACGGCTATGCTGCAATTAACCATCATTGCACCCAGACTACTGGAACCTGCTGACAAACCCTCAGAAGTATTGAAGCAACAGCTGGCATCATGAAATCTTCATAGAACAGAACAGACCTTGTCAAAAAGTCCATTGTCCATTGTCGTCAACTCCTCGGCGACAACAGTAAGGCATCAGTAAGGCAAGCCTGTGTCCCAGTTTTGGCAAGAAAGAAGGACTCTTTCTAATGACTTTCTGAGCGTCTCTCTGAGACCATCATCAAAGTTTTTTCCCCAATGATGTAATCTTGTGGTCTTTAGCCATATAGTAAAGTTAGTCCAGGGTTTGGAGGAGATTCGGAGTAGCCTCGAAACGGGTTCTCCCAGGGTTCCCAAGCAAGGTTCCCAGGTTTGGGGTACCAAGCAAGGTTCCCATTCCCAAGGTTCCCAAGCAAGGTTCCTTGGACCTTTGGCGCTGGCTGTCGAAATGTGTCGTGGGCATGACATGAATCAAAAGCACACTTCTGACATAACATGTGGACCAAGAGGGTAAAGCTAACTTGATAGTGGTTTTCAGACAAATTGTGAACAAATTGAATGGTCTATCGACCCTTTAGATCTGAGATAGGGGCTAGAAAAGGGGCCAGGTTTGCTTCGTTAATTCATTACCAAGATCTCACATGTGTTTTATTGCTGCTGGGGATGTTGAACAGCGTCCGTGGCTCCCGACCTTGCGCCTTACAGGCGACCGGCCACCAGATGAGGAGCTGCCAGCGCCCCGGGAAGACCCACGAGATAACGGGCTGGCGCAGGCAGGGAGACGGACAAGCACTGGCAGGTCTGACTCCAACCAGAGGTCCCAAAACTGATTAATATGAAAGACAGTATGTGTATATGGTAAACGTCCCGTAGTTTAAAACGAAACACCGTTCGCGTTCTTGATCGCAGTGTTTCGGCCTCAGCTGCGGATGAACCACCGCTCCCGCGATTGCGCTTGCTCCGCTTGCGCAGCGCTGGGACGTGTGGCAGCGGTTGTGGTCGACGAGGAGACGAGTGGAGCACACAGGGACTACATCGCCAAGGTCCTTGAACGTGCTTACACTAAGATCCTTGAGCGAGGACTGGAGCTCTTGCGTGAGGAGCGCAGAGCTGAGGGTGACAGAGGGGCTCCTGGCCACGGGGAGCCGGTGATTGGGCCTGCAGAGCCACCTGCAGGTTCAACAGGTGAGGTAAAGGAGGAGAAGGCCGAGTGCGAAGAGGAAGCGCCAAAGAAGAGGAAGAGGAGGAAGCGCCGTCCCAAAGAGGAAGAAGAGAAAGCCACAGAGGAGGAGGAGAAGCCCGCAGGTGAAGAGAAGAGAGCAGAGGAGGAAGTAGCAGCCGACAGCCCAAAAGCATCAGAGACTCCTGGACCATCCACTGAGGGAGTCAAAGAGCCTAGTGAGAGAGATCCCCGAGCACCTCTACCTCGTAATCCAAAGCCCAGTACAAATCCTGCTATCTCGTTGAAGGAGAAGAAGACAAAAGGTGGGTGTGCAGCAGAAAACGAGGGCGAGCCGAGGTTGAGGTTGAAGCCAAAGGCCAAGGGAAGACCCAGAAGGTCGAGAAGCCGCTCCAAAGCCCGTGATCAGAAGGACAAGAAGAAGAGGAGGAGTCCAAGCCCGAGGGACGATCCAGCAGGGGGAGACAGGGGTGTCTCCTCGTTTACAGGTGCAGAGGCTGGCGAAGAAGAGGCTGAAGAAGGAGGACCTCCTGGAAATTGGGAGGAGAGGCCGGAGCTTGCAAGAAGGCCCAAGTCACCAGATCATCCTCCTCCTCTACCACGCCGACCCAGTAGAGGACAGCTGTGGATTGGGCCCATCAGAGCACACAAGAACAGACCACCACCCAAAAAGAACAAAGGGGTGAAGAAAGACTTGAAGAATCAGAGGTATTGGGAACGGAGGAGGCAGCAGGCTTGGGAGGAGCGGCAACGTGCTTACAGAGGGTATTACCGACGGTGATGCCCCCGAGGAGGAGACCAGCAGCCGCTGGTGAGAGAGTGGGCGCCTTGAGGAGGCCTGCAGCCGCTGGTGCACGAGAAGGAGACGGTTGGGAAAGAGCGGGAGAGGTAAGCAGTGATACTCTCCTGGGGTGGCAATGGGTCCATCTACGCGGCAGATATTGGGACGAGGAGGTCGAGGTCATCGGCAAGGTTATGGATATCAAGAGAAAGGACACAGGCCGGGAAATTCTTTTGAAGGCCAGTGGGACGCCATCGGAGAGCCTACTGAGGGCATTGAGTGGTGTGCCAAGCAGGCAGTTGAGGGTGCACCTCTGCCCGGAGCCCTGTCCTGCACTGGTCTGGGAGGAGGCTTACCTTCATTGCAGCCAAGTACGCGAGGTAGAGCGAGGGAGCCTGGGATGGAGCCAGACTCTCGAGGCGGCTGTGGAGAAGGAGGACGACGACGAGCTGCGTCAGCTTCGGGCCAGTGCAGAGGAGTTGAGGCTTCGTGGAAAAGGAGTAGGGGGCCAAGCAGAGAAGCCAAAGAAGAAGGAGGTGTCTCCTGGGTCATCGGGAGACGAGGCAAAGAAAAAGAAGAAAAAGAGGAAGAGGGCTGCCTCCCGAATCCAGGCCAGAAAGGGTTTGGACAGCCTGTTTGGAACTACGGGGCTCGATCCGAAGGCAGAAGTCCGCCGAAAGGTGAAGAAGAGGGCCCGTCGAGTAGCTCGACGGACTCGAAACAAGAAGCGGGGGAGCTCATCTTCGGATGGCAGCAGCAGTTCGAGCTCAAGCCCGGAGAGTTGCGAGGTGGACGACAAAGACCTGTTCGAGCCCGCTACATCAACGCAGAGGGTGTGGAAACAATGCCCAGGTGTATTGACAATGACGATGATTGCCGAGGCAAAAGAAGCTCTCCTGAGCCAGATGGGCACCCCGGGCGAACCTATGGATGGCGCGGTGCCTGCAATAGCTACCCAGTATGTTCGACAGATATTGATGCCAACAATGAGCGGCCCGGTGGCACGGGAGTCCCATCATTGGGGACTCCTGTTGGACCTTTTGTTGACCGGCCAGGTAGCCGCCGCAGCAGACCTGGGAGCCCAACGTCTCAAGGCGTTGGAGGGACACGCCAAGGGCATGAAGCCAGAGTTGCTGAGGCAGTTGGAGCTGGTAGCACAGGAGAGGCCGTCATTGAGCAGTGCAACCGAGATCATGAAGGCGGGTCGACAAGCCAGCGAGGAGCAGAAGGTGCTTCAAAAGGCGAGTGTCCGAGATGGGCAGGACAAAGGAAAAGGCCAGTGGAGCGAATGGAGGCCAAGATTCGAGAAGGGCGAGAAGGGCGGAAAAGCAGACAAAGGAAAGAAGGCCAAGGGCGAGGGGAAGAAGAAGGCTACATAGATGCGGGCTTCAGCAATGCGGGCTACAAGGAGGAGAAGTACAGTGGCTTTGAGAGTGGGCTTTCACGGGAGGGGCTCAGTGGCAGGGCCTCTCCTGGTATTTGGGACAGTGGCGCAAGACAACATGGGGCTCCTGGAGGCGCCCTGGCTCCTGGTGGCAGGGAGCTAGGGAAAGATCAAGGGAGCATGGTTTTTGACGAGGTCGAGGGTGCACCTACAGCTCGACCTTCGAAGTCTCACGAAATTGATGATGGTTTTTTCCAGCAGCATCCCCAACCTGGGACTACAGGACTTCTACATGGAGACACTGGGACCGGGGTTGGAAGTGACCCGCTGCATCTTTCGAAGCCGCCTGGTACAGCTGAGGTATTTCGCAGGGCCTTGGGCACGATGATGTGTGACGACAAGATGCGCTCCAACATGGGCAAGGCTACCATGGCTCAGGGAGACCTACTGCCTCTGCCCGTGCCCCAGGATGACCTGCAGCTGGCAGCGACCGTTGCTAGCCTGAACCATCTGGGAGGCTGGAACAACCCGCCTCCCGGAAGTGTCACCTCAGACCTTCAGCAGTCGGCTTTGAAAAATTTGTGCGAGCTGGTGCATAGACATCGCATGTGGAGCATAGGTGAACATGACATTTGCTTTGACGATTTCTTTAAAAGAAAGTCGGTTGACTACCTGGGTGACGAAGTGAAAGTTGCAATGACGGTGAACTGGCGTGCTGTGTGTGACTCTTTCCCCCAAGAAGTAGGTTGCCTTGAACTTGAACGGTTTTGTCGGCTTGGAACCCTGGAGTACGTGACTCAGTTCGAGGACTTCCTTTTACCCCCAGAAGACTGGAAGTATGTGAAACCGCCTAGGGTTATGGTGGAAAAAGATGGGTGGCCGGAACTTTGTCAAGGACTTGTGGCACGGAATGTTTGTGATTGAGGACCTGTGTCACGTGGAGGGCAAGCCATTATTGAACGGCATGTTCTCAGTAGGAAAGGGGGAATTCAAGAACGGATTGGAAACGCAACGGCTGATTATGAACCTGATACCAGTGAACGCCCTATGTCGTCCTCTTGCTGGGGATATTGGGACACTCCCGGGAATTGCGGGATTGTCTGGGTTCCTCCTCGAGGCGGGGGAGGTGGTGCTCCTTAGCAGTGAAGACATTCGTTGTTTCTTTTATCTGTTTGGAGTGCCGGCCAAGTGGCGCAAGTACTTGGGGTTCAACAAACTGGTGCCTCCTGAGCTGGTTCCACAACACTTGGTTGGAAAGGACTGTGTCTTGGTGGCAAAGGTTTTACCGATGGGGTTTCTGAATAGTGTGTCCATCGCACAGCATGTTCACAGGAACGTGGTGAAATGGGCAGGCATGGCAGGTGTAGGTGGGGAGCGTGAGATGCGAAAGGATCGTCCCCTCAGTTCGGGCAGTGCACTGTACAGGGTCTATCTTGACAACTTTGACTTCTTGGAGCGGACCGAGAGGGGGTTGGCAGAGAAGATCAAAGGTGGAGTTGCTGATCCCGTCCAGCAGGTGCGACAGCAGTACGAGAGCATGGGCCTGCCCCGGCACCCCAAGAAATCAGTGCAGCGAGCCTTGCAAGGTGAGGTACAAGGTGCCTGGTTGGACGGTGAGGCTGGGTTTGCTACCCCCAAACCTGAGAAGGTCCAGGTCTACTGTAAGCTAGCGGATGAGTTGCTTCGGCGAGGACAGTGCACGCTTCGGGAACTTCAGGTCGTGTGTGGGGGCTTCATCTATATTTGCATGTTCCGTAGGGCACTGCTGGGCTGCTTGAATGAGGTGTTCGTGCACATGCAGCGCTTTGAAGGCGAAGCGCCCGTGGTGCGTCTGGCATTACCATGGTCGGTGAAGGTGGAGCTTTCGAGGTTTGTTGCTTTGAGCCCCCTGGGCCAGATGGACTTCCGGACGTCGGTCGATGGTGTAGTGACTTGCTCCGATGCCTCCACGCAAGGTGGCGGTGCATGCTCGTCGGTTGGGCTGAGTGACTATGGCATGGCCGCATTGAATTCCGAGGTGAGAGGTGATGTCCCGGAGGCTCATGACTTGGTGCAGGTCTTGACGGTAGGGTTGTTTGATGGCATAGGTGCTCTGCGGGTGGCCTGTGACATACTAGGACTTCCTATGGCTGGTCATGTCAGCATCGAAAAAGACCCCAAGGGTCGGCGAGTGGTGGAAAGCTTTTTCCCGGAGACAGAGTTTTTTGACGATGTGGTTGAGTTTGGGGCTGATGAGGTGGCTCAACTGGCTCTGAAGTATAGCAACGTGGGCGTTGTCCTGGTCGGTGCGGGACCCCCGTGTCAGGGGGTCAGTGGGTTGAACGCAGACCGGAAAGGGGCAATCAAAGATGAGCGAAGTTCTTTGTATGTTCACGTGCCACGCAACTGCACTCTGTTTCGTCAGGCCTTCCCTTGGGCACAAGTCCATGAGCTGATTGAAAATGTAGCATCCATGACAGGTGAAGACAGGGCCCTGATGAGTAGTGCTTTCGGCAAGTGTCCTTTCCGGATCGATTCCAAGGGGATAGCGTTGTGCTCGCGGCCCCGTCTGTATTGGATCAGTTGGGAATTGTCGGAGGCAGAAGGTGTCAAGATTTCGCAGAACCATGAGGACGGGTTTCAGGCCTACTCCACAGTGTCATTAGAGGCGGAGGTTGAAGCAGGTGCTTTCTTGGAAAGAGGTTGGTCCCTCCGGGAGGGCTGCAACCTCCCGACGTTCACTACTTCTCGGCCGAGAACATCGCCCGGACGTCGGCCAGCAGGTATTAACTCTTGTGAAGACCATGAACTACAACGCTGGTCCCAGGATTCATACCGCTTCCCCCCCGTACCAATACAAGGACACCCATGGTTTGTGGAATAAAAAAGGTGAATGGAGGCGTCCAGGGGTACAAGAGCGGGAGGTCATCATGGGGTTCCCTTTGGATTACACAAAAAACTGTGTCGTCAAAGCCGAGCAGAAGGGTCAGGACTACAATGACGCACGGCTGACCCTCCTTGGTAACTCCTGGCAGGTGGGAGTGGTAGCTTGGCTCATTTTACAGCTGATGCATCCCTTGGGACTATGCCGAAAGTGGACTTTGCAGACCTTGGTGGAGCAGTTCACACCAGGGCGAGGAGTTAGCTTTTACCATGTCCTCATGCGACCTCCTTTTCCATGTCGTCAACATACACCCCCGGGGACAGGAACGGATGCTTTAGTGAAAAAACGCATGGGTTTGATTGCTTCCAAGGGAGAGGACCTCATGGTTCATGCAGGTAGTGACCCCCTACCTCGGCACTGTAGACTGAGAGCTAGCATCCCAGGCCGCCTCTGGAGGTGGAAAGAAATTAGTGGGTGGACATGGAAACATCCGGGTGACCACATCAATTTGTTGGAGCTTAGAGCTATCTTGACCACTGTACGCTGGAAGATTCTGCGTGGCCACCGTCTCCGCATGCGCTTTCTACACCTCACAGACAGTCTTGTCTGTCTGCATGCTCTGACTCGGGGGCGGAGCTCGAGTCGGAAGCTCAGAAGGACCATACAACGCCTGAACGCCTATCTTCTTGCAGCTGATCTTCATCCCCTATGGGGATACATACACACCTCTCAGAACCCCGCCGACCGTCCGAGTCGGCGACCCGTCAGGCGCAAATGGGCAAAATAGGTAAAAGGGTTCTAGAAGGTCAGACGCGAGAAGACAGGCAAAAGGTTCGAAAAAGTTTAGGTTCACTGAGGTCCCTGACAGTGTCAGACAAAACAAGAAACCGATACGACGCAGCCACCGGCAAGTTCTTTGCATGGTTGGACGAAAATGAGCTGGTGCTTCCACGAAAACGAGAGCATCTGGACGGGCTGCTAGCAGAGTACGTAGAGCATCTATGGTCGGATGGAGCAGGCCGTGCTCAGGCCTGTGACACTCTTGCTGGCCTACAAGATCGGGATCCTAAGTTGAAAGGACACCTCCAGTTGTCTTGGCGACTTCTGCGCACGTGGAGCACCAATGAAATCCCCAACCGTGCGCCCCCTCTGCCTCAAGAAGCCCTTCTTGCCATGGTTGGCTGGTCCTTTTTTCATGGTCATTTCAGCTTTGGCGTGTCTTTGCTTGTGGCCTACTATGCTATGTTGCGCACCGGCGAAGTACTGCACCTGAAAAACTCCCATATCTACATGACCGGACCCAAGACCCCTGCTGTTATTTCCCTGGGAATGACAAAGGGAGGAAAGCGAACCGGTGCTGCTGAGAGCGTGACCCTCTCCAGTGGGGATGCCCTGAAGTGGTTGTGGATGTGGAAGACCGCCAACAAACCCCATGCTACTTTGTGTCCCACAAATGCCAAATGGCGACAACTATTCTCGACATGTCTCACTGCCCTATCTTTGCAAGCGTTCCAATTCCGTCCCTACAGCCTCCGTAGAGGGGGCGCGACATTTTGGTTGTCCCGGCACGGTAGCCTCGATAAGTTGATGATTGCCGGACGATGGCAAGCTGTGAAAACAGCCCGAGTGTACATAAACGAGGGCTTAGCAGTTTTAGCCGAACTACTCTTACCAAAGGCAAAACTTCGTCCTTTCACCCAGGTGTTTCACTCTGGAATCCGTCCTCAACACTTGAGCGCGAACAAGCGCAAAGAAAAGGGGGAGTTGGAAAGGGCAGTTGGGACCTTCTTTTTTGCAAAAAATGTTTTAAAGAGAC